TAGATAGATAGATAGATAGATAGATAGATAGATAGATAGATAGATAGATAGATAGATAGATAGATAGATAGATAGATAGATAGCAAGCGCCATCTGAACGTTTGAGCTGATGCACGATGCAGCCTTCTGGCTAGCAATGGATGCAGCACCTGAATAACATCACCACTGCAAAAGCCACATTGGCTGCAATGGCGCCATTATCTTCTGGGTCTAATTTAAAGGTCAACTTTAAAAGTTGGGGACTGGCTACCTCTGGGACCACCTACTGCAGGCTGGATCTGCCTTGTCCAGTAAGCTGTGGTAAGCTGCCCAGGGTCCCCCCTGCTTCATGGAGTGCAATGTCCCTCTCCGTGCACACAATGTGCCCCCAAATATTTGGACTACCCACACAGTAGCATATTAATTGTAGTAATAACTAAACAAAATAAAATATTTCTCTTTTCTCACAACTCTCCTCGGTGTATATGACAAAAGGACTCTGGCCTGCAAAAGCCCCGGTCAATATGTATGCGATTGTCTCCACACAAGTTGGAAGGGACCTTGTAGAGGTCAACTAGCCCACCCCACCCCTCCCCAAGCGGGAGACCCTACACCATTTCTGACAGCCACTTCTTGAAAGCCTCCAGCGATGACGCTCCCACAACTTCTGAAGGCCACTTCTGTGTCTGTGGGTTGATGGCTCTCATGGTCTTGGTCTTTTTTTGTTCCAAGAACTAACAAAGTCACTGTAAAAGTATATACTTTCCTTTCGGGCAGGTGCTTATTTGGACTAGTCTGCTCTGAGAATGATCCCCTCTCGCCTCGCCCACCCCCTCGGACTGTGGGCCCAGTGCTTTTATTAAACCTCCAAACAAACTTAAGCGAGTGCTTTGGGGGCGAGGGGGAAGGACAGAATTCAGCCCAAGATGCAGTCCGGCTTCAACTTCTTTTATTCCACAGAAAGGGGCCCCGAAGCTAAGAAAGACCCTTGTCATGCCCCAGAAGATTCTGCCTCAACACCGCCCCCCCCCAGCCCTCTCTCCAGGGTCAGAGACCTACCTTGGAGGTCGTAAGGCATGGGAGTCATATGAAACGGATGCCTGTAGTCCTGCAGGAGTGATGTGTTGATGTAGCTTGTGTCAACAGCTGGAAGGCTGGGAGTTCTTGAAACGGGAGAGACTTGGTTGGGCAGACTTAAAAGGCTAGAAAAGAAAAGAACACTTGGAAGACCCAAAGGCAGCTGTGGGCTCCTCCCGCCAACAGCCGCTGAGACTCAGAACTAGGCCTTTGCATCGCTCGCCCTGCCAAATGACAAGTGCTGCCTTAGTCATTCAGCAAGCTACGATTTACCATTCTTTTATTGGCCTTGGTGGTCGCTCTTTATTTTTATTTATTTATTTGTTTACCTGCATCCCGCTTTTATTCGTTTCGCAAATGACTCCAGTTTGGTGTAACATTTCCAATATACCTTCCTCCTCCTATTTGCCCCACAACAACAACCCTGTGAGGTGGGGTGGGGGGCTGAGAGAGCAGGTCCAAAGTTCCCCAGCTGGCTTTCATGCCTAAGGCAGGACTAGAACTCCCCATCACCTGATGATTGTCCCAAAGTCACCCAGACTTCTCTTCCATGGCCCTTTTTATTAAGCCTTGTGCACCGTGCTGTCCAGCATTTCCGCACCACCCGGAAGCGGAGGGGTTTCGCCCATCAGGTTCTCCAAAGGCCACTAGCCGTGGGACGCTCCGCCTTCCTTCCATGGGAAAGGGTAAGCGGGATTCCCTGTAGAATTCCAGTCTGGTCAGGCGACAAAACTGATTGAATCATACTTTTTTTTTTTCTTCCTCAGAATATGCAGCCGTGAAAGGCTGCCACCTATTCCCGAAAGCTTCTGTTGATCGGTCACTTTGTTGTGGTTCACCGGCAACAGGTGTGGATGGCTGAGGTCTCGAAGAGTGAGGGGCCTGTGTGTGATGCCAGGATGGGGCCAGGAGGGAGGGGGGTGCTGCCTTCGGAGATTGTGCAGGCTGGCAGCAATGAGGAAGAGGCCCCCGAGGAGCCCGTGCCCAGGGTGCGCGCGCGCAGGGCTGCTCGAAGGACAGAGCAGCTGCAGCAGCATGGGTGACTCATGAGTAAGGCTGCAAGGTAATGGCCCCTCCCTCAAGAGATAAAAGCCAGCTGAGAAACCGGAGTTCTTTGCAGGAAGCAAAGAAGTTTTTGCACTCAAGCCTCGCGGACGTTTGGATTCTCTTAGTTTGTGTTTGGAGACTCTTTGTGTTTCAACTATTTCTTGGCAACTTTATCTAGTGTTCTTGGCAGCCTTGCACAACCTTGGCAAGGCTCGTCCTTATTAGAGACAATTAGTTTTAATAGCTTTTTAACCATGAATTAACGGAATTCGCAGAGAAGCATTAAAAGGTTTTGCTTTTAGCTCTGTTTGGTGTCTGTTGACTTGGAACAAGGTTTGGGTCAGAACACATTTTCACAGAATGTGAAAGAAACCCTATTTTGTCATCCCCAAACCGGCTTCAGCGGAGAAATAAAGGATCCCAAAATGAAAGTGAGAATTCCTTCTGCACTTCCTACTGCAAACTGCCAAACAGGTAATAATTGACCTACGATCTTACGGAACCTGCCCGTCTGACCACGGTTGCAAGTCGTGATGATTGTAAAGGGGGACATTACACAACTGGATGCAATTTTATGACTTCTTTGTGCAAGTTACAAACACCCACAGTGGTCATAACGCAACCGCCTTGGTCATTAAATGAACCCATTGTTTGATATGGGTTGGTTTTGCTGAAAAATGGAGCTAAACACCAGGTTTTGGCAGTAACCTTGTAAACTGGGGTCATGTGCTGGGGACACTGCAAATGGCTGTAAATGTGGGGTGCCCCAAATTCAGCCCTATGACCGTGGGGAAAGGGGAGCTGGCTGCTGTAACTTCAGAACTCCCCGTCTCCCTCTAACCTGGGTTGCCATCTCACCTCTTGCTGTTGATGGGTGACACAGGAGACAGGGATGGACATCTCCTCTTGATGGGCGGTTCCTCTTCCTCCTCATCGGATGAACTGTCAATGGTTAAGTCGATCACTTCAACCTTCTTATTTTTGTTGGACTGATGAGAAGATACCTGATGATCCACAGAAGAACTTAAGCAGCCTAGGAACAGTCAAATGTTGAAGTCAACGTAAGTTGAAGCCACGTGTCACATAATGAACAATAGGGAACCACGTACAGCAACAAGCAAAGAGGAGAAATCTTTAAAGAGGCAGACAAATTATTGCGAAACTCACCTTCGACACCATTATAAGATGTTGTCACTTCTTGGGCCTCTTTTTTTGACCTCATAGGAGCCCATGACCCATCTTCCTTAAACTGAATCTCATCGCAATCTGTGCAGTACTTCAGAATTTCCATAAACAACCTATAAAATAGAAGCTTCCTTAAAAATCACCCTGGATATACAGGAAAGCATATCTAATAAACTATGTTCAACCTCTGAGACCTAATATGCAACGGCAGCATCAAAGTACAACTTCATACCTTAGACCAGGGATCTTCAAACTTGACAGCTTTAAGGCTTGTGGACTTCAACTCCCAGAATCCCTCCTCCAGTCATGTTAGCTCAGGAATTCTGGGAGTTGAAGTCCACAAGTCTTAAAGTTGCCAAGTTTGAAGACCCTTGATCTATTCATTCTCTCTCTCTCTCTCTCTCTCTCTCTCTTCTACCTCTCTTTATCTATTTATTCTATCTTTCTCCCTCCCTTTCTCCCTTTATCTATCTATTCTATCTTTCTATCTATTCTACCCCTCTTTATCTATTCCAGGGGCCTTAAAACTCGACAGCTTTAAGACTTGTAGACTTCAACTTCCAGAATTCCTCCTCCTCCAGCCAGGTTAGCTCAGGGATCATGGGAGTTGAAGTCCACAAGTCTTACACTTGCCAAGTTGGAAGACCCTTGACTTAGACCAGTGTTTCTCAATCGTGGAAGCTTTAAGATGGTTGGACTTCAATTCCCAGAATCCCCCACCAGCTAGAATTCTGGGAGTTGAAGTCCACCCATCTTCAAGCTGCCAAGACTGAGAAATGCTGCCTTGGACATTTCCCGGAGGTTTCTAGAACAGCTGATTCCCAAGTATTCCCAACTATTCCTGGCTTCTGAAAGGTACTCACCCATCAATTATTAGGTGTTCATAGGGTGCTTTTTTGTCACAGACAGGACACACCCAAGTGGGCTTCTTTTCATTCATCTGAATGTACAAGGTGGCATCAAAACACTGAAGGTGGGAGCAAGTCAGAGACCTGCAAGGTATTGCTAGTCGCATTTTGCCAAGCTTTTAAAAAGAAAAGAAAAAAGGTGAATTGAATAATTAAGTCTGACATACAAACAAAAGTTGGCTTAACAAAAAAAGTCCTTTTTGGCTAAATAAAACCTCTAGGCAAGGCAAAAAGGTGTACAGGAGAGGTGGAGGCAAACTCTGCCTTGAATGGATGCATGAATAAATTCATTCACCTTCTCCCGCAGAGAATGACTCTCATCTTCCCAGTGAGGCCATTCTTGCCAGATAAGGTGGATTAACATTCAAAGTGACATTGTACAGTAGATACAGGTAGTCCTTGACTTACAACAGTTCATTTAGGAACCGTTCAAACTTACAAAAAACACTAAAAATGTGACTTACGACCATTTTTCACAGTTATGACTTTTGAAACTTTCCCCATGATAATGCGATCAAAATTTTGTTCACCACATTATAAGAAAGATGTTGAGACTCTAGAAAGAGTGCAGAGAAGAGCAACCAAGAGGATGAGGGGACTGGAGGCTCAAACATACAATGAATGGTTGCGGGAACTGGGCCTGGCTAGTCTAGGGAAGAGAAGGACCAGGGGAGACAGGAGAGCAGTCTTCCAATATTTGAGGAGGTTCCACAGAGAAGGGAGTCAAGCTATTTTCCAAGGCACCTGAAGGTCAGACAGGAACAACGGATGGAAACTGATCCAGGAGAGATTCAACTTGAAAATAAGGAGGAATTTTCTGACAGTGAGAGCAATCAACCAATGGAATAGAAGTTGCCTTTGGAAGTTGTGGGAGCTTCATCACTGGAACTTTCAAGAAGAGACTGGAGTGCCATCTGTCAGAAATGGTGTGGGGTCTCCTGCTTGGGCAGGGGGGTTGGACTAGATGACCTACAAGGTCCCTTCCAACTCTGATTATCTGTCTGTTAAAAAATTCAGATGTTTGACAACCGATTCATAGTTATGAAGCTCAGAGTGTCAATGAGGAAGCCAGATTCACTTAAGAACCATGTTAGCTGCCACTAATTGATCAACTGCAGTGATTCACTTAATAACTCTGGAAAAAAGGATTGTAAAAAGGGCAACTCAATTGTTAATTCTCTCAACTGTGGTCGTAAGTCAAGGACTACCTGTACTCAATGCAATGAGGGAAGAATTTTAGAAAAAAATACACTTACTGGGCATAGAAGAGAAACTCTTAAACTGGTGGTTGCTATTTCACTGTCAGGATCTGCTGTTAGTTTCTCTTTGACTGTGAAGAAGAAAAACAAAAAACAAAATTGAAACTATCATTAGAAGGTGTAACAACCCAATGAAGTGGGGGAAAGCCAGGATAGGAAGTCGATGCATTTCCTGAGTTAGTCAGAAACAGGTTTGGAGGTCCCCAAATGAGTTTGAAGAACTGTTAGTAAAATGCTCCGCGGGACGCTGAAAGTGAGGCTGGAGGGAGAAAAGAGAAGGGAATCAGGGCCCTTTCTTCCCCATAAGCCATGTTGCTCCCTTCTCCATTCCTCCCTGCGTGCCCTAGGATGAAGAGGGGGTGGGCCTGGGTCTTCCTCTGAATGCCCTGCTGGACTGTGCCCTTCCCCAGTTTCCTCCACAGCCACCGGAGCCCCACTCCCACTCCCTGTCAGCTGTTCCACCTCCCCCCTCGGAATCAGATTCCAACAGGGGCATGACACATTCATTCATTCATTCATTCATCCATTCATTCATCCATTCATTCAATTTCTCAGTCAATAACTCTGGGCAGCTTACAATTCAAAAACATATTACAATTAGGACACTTAAAACAATTTAAAGCAATGAAGCAACAATAAGGGGGGGACCATTATCGCCGCGCCTTTCTCCTGAAATGATTCTGTACTTGGAGCTTGCACTCGGTAGACGTACTTAGCGCTCTCGAATGGTCAGGGTTTCTTATGCCTTTTATTCGTAGCCGCTGTAGCAACACGGATGAGGACAGCTGCTTGACAAGGTAGACGGCCATCGAATAAGACTGCAGGGAAACACAAGAAAGAACCAGGCAGTCTAAATACCAGGAATGCGTGTTATTATATCCAAATCCGTGTGAAAATTTGGAATTAGAAGCAAAATTCACTGGTTTGGGGGAGATACAGTAAATAATGGAAGCCATTTTTTACTCTTTGCACTTAGAAGAAATATAGAGGGTTAGGCTGTAAGAGGTTGCAATTTAACAGATCACTATCAACCCAGGAAAATTTCCCAGGAAAATATATGAAATTACCATATCCAGGAAGGATAGGGTGATGTGGCTCCAAAGTAATTGAAACAAGAGTTCATATTTCATTTTCTTGTTAAATACTAGAAAAATATTCATTACACATTTTCTTCTCTAACAAATGCCAAAATCTGGCAGATAGATTTTATGTTTTGCATGTTTTATCTAACCAACATAATCAAATCATTTGGAAGTCGTCACATTTGTTTTGAATGTATGTGGCATTCATCAGGTCAGAAGGATTATAGAACTGTTTTCTTGAAGACTGCTTGCATTTTCTGTTGCTTGTTTGGTATGTGATTTAGCTTGTGGTTTTTATGTACAGTAACTACATAAAAATTGGTTTGACTTGATTTAATTTTAAAAAATTAGTTTGAAGACTAAAAGCCTTGTTTTCCTAAAGTCAAATGCCTCAAGATAAAAGTTTGTTCAAAAATGCCTGGATTGGATTCTGATGCCATTTCAGTCCAGTTTCATTCTTCTACAATAAACACTATAACTTACATACAACTTAGAACTGGAAGAAAGAATTCATCAAACCTAAGATATATTGCTGTTTGAGAGGTGTAGAACTCTTATTCAAAACTATATAAAGTCCCAGTTGTCTCAAAAGAGTCTCTTACCTCTATGCCATCTTCACGTATTTTATTATTTACAATTATATGTCAAGGCATATATCAAAAGCAAAATTACAGCTCTATGAACTATGGAATAAAGAACCAAGGACATTCCCACAGGTGGCTGATAAGAGGAGGAGTGACATTTCCAAGCAACCAGTCAGCACCTTGACTGGACCATGTGACTGATTGTTTGCGAAAGGGGAAATAACTTTTACTTTTAGTTAGGCGAAAACCGCAGGAACCTTTAGAGTCGGTTTTCACCAGTCTGTGCCCATAGGATACGTCCAATAAACCTGTTCTTTGAGGAGCCTGCTTGCCTCGGAGTTCTGCTTGCTATGGTTGTATTACTTGGAACCCTGGCACGCAGGGGTTGAAATCCAGACTTCAGCATCTCCAACGGACACATGTCCAGCCTCTGTTGGACTACACCGAGTAAATTGCCCCTCCCCCTCCTCTCCTGATCATCAGTTCCACTCTTACAGCAAAACATCTGAAAAAAGGATGACTAGATCTGCACCAGAAGCCTCAGCAGGTTTACTTCGGTTTCCTGCTATTTTCAATCTGACTAGCAAGGAGTGGTCTTCATTCACGCCCCTCAACACCTCACTGCTTCTGGCAACTAGGCAAGTAATTAAATAGTGGTTTTTAGGGTTATCTCTTCTTTTGCTTACACATGCAATTGGAATTGTTTGGCTGGCCAGTCTTCACTGAGCCCAATTATCTAAGCCTCCCTAAGCAACATCCATCTCTTCCAACGGATGCCAAGATGGTACTAGAGAGAGCCAATCTACAAAAAGCCCCAGGGATATTTATTGAAATCATTAAGTTCAGAAAAAGCTACTCCGATTCATTGACTATATGTAACAATCCCTCCTCCCAATAATTTTGCTTTGTAGCAAAAACATTACTTACTCTTCCTATTTCTGCAGTCCAAGAGACAACAATTGTGTTTGGTACTGTTGTGGATAGTCGCACCAGTGAAGTAATGTTGATTGGTCTGCTTGGTCGCTTTGGTTCAACCCCGTTTTTAGTTGGAGGAAGATAGCCCTGAAACCCCAGAAATCAAGTTTACCATTATGAAAATGACCATGTAAAGCAATGTCTCCCTTTTCATGACCTTGCTCGAGGCCACGCCAATATCTGAAGTGGGTCATTATGTCCCTTTTGTTGGTAGGGAATTAAGAGGAAATCCTTACACCCCTAATTTCCCTTTATGAGATAGGTTGATAGAGATGGACAGATAACTAAAACTAGTCAAAGACCAGAAAGTTCATTTCATACTACAAAAAGGCCAAGGAAGAAAGTCAACTCTCGGGCACTATGGAATGGGATTATGTTATGTGAGAAAAATCAAGTGTCAGGTTTCCAAGTGATGAAACCACCAAGAAGAAGGTAAGAAAAAGAATATACACTAAGCCTAACTAAAATGGCTACACACATGTCAATTTGGGGCTTAACATCAAGTTTTTGCGTTTGTTGTTTAATTTTTTAAAATCCCACTTAATATACACAGAGAACTTGAAACAGATGAGCTGACCGAACGTGCCCTAGTTGAAAAGCTAACAAGATCAGGTTTCATTGGTACTTAGTTGCAAAAGAAGATTCAATGAACATGTCCACGAAATCACCAGGAGGTGAGCACCAGCTCACAGGAGACCTGGTTTTTACGGGATGAGAGACCAATGGGTCACCCCAGGGCAGTAGCCTAACCTGGGAAGTAAAACTAAAGAATCCTATAAGAAGGGAATAGTAACCACTTCCATCCTGTTGACTAAAAAACTCGTCAACTAGTCACGTTTGTCATATCACCAGAAATTGAACTGGACTCCTAGGAGATTTTGCCTCAAAAGAACCGTAAGCAGAAGAGACAGAATAACTCAAGTGACTTCTGCATGTCAAACAAAGGCACCGCTGAATGCAAAGATCACCTATAAGGACAATTATGCCACAAACCATCCATAGCTCCCACATGGATTGTTTTATGAAAAAGAAGGCTATAGTATTCATCTTTGGGGAGATACTTACAGGAAGGCTACATGGTTTTCCATTAACTTTCACACAAAGGTTGGGTGGAAAATGGTCTTCTTGTGGGCAACTGGTTTCAGATAAGCAAAACCTAAGGATATTGCAAAGTTCAGTTATGTTATATTTTATTTATTTTCAGCCCATAAAAATAACTAAGTTTGGCAAACATACCTAATATTCTTTCCTCCCCTATTTGCCCCCAACAACAATCCTGTGATTATAGATATACATGTATGTATTACGTAGGGAAACATTTATATGCCTACTCATTACCAGTTTGCATAATTTCAGTCTGTTGTAGACACCATATTTGACACAGGATGTGAAGGAGAAGGGAAACGCCATATTGCAACTGGATTATAGGAAAAGCAATTACCTTAACTGGACCTGCACGGTGAAATCACATTTGGTTCCAGAAATATCCCTAACAAAAACATTAGACAGTGATTAAATACAGACTGTTAAAATAATCCATCACATAATTTAACCATGTAAAGCTTGAAACAGAATATGCCAACACCAAACTATGTTGAAATGGCACATTTGATCCAACCTTCATCCTCCTCCTTCAAATCCTTTCCCCATTTCTGAACAGACTACATAGACAAATAGCATTTATATGGTTCTGGCATCATTTTAAATTATGAAAATGCACATACTCTGAACATGGGGGTCAGGGCACTCATGTGTTAGGAGTTAGCCCTCCCAGTTAGCAGCAAAGTGTGGGCAACAGTACACTGACTTGCAAACAGCCTGCATAGGACGGCATGGCCACACTTGGGAGTAATTTTTTATTACACTTGTGGAGTAAGTGGCCCAGACTTGTGAATTACTAGATAACTAAGAGGAAAGGTTACAAAAATTAAGTGCAGAGATCCAAAGAGCGGCAAAGTAAGTGTAAAAGGCTTTTTTGTGTGGTGGTTGTATCAGCCCTTGGCAAGCAGATACAAGGAGAAAGCATGAGGTAGCGTAAGGCAAATGTGTTCCCGTCCATTTTATCTTCAAAAGCCAAGTTGGGAAGAATGGGCCTACCACATTTATGAAAGCCACTGGATTATGGAAACACAAAGACCCTGTGGACATGAGGAACAAAGAATTTGGAACTTCCAAAATCAGAAGCCAGTGCGCGTATCTCTAGATATATAAGTAGCCGGGTGCTTGTGCATAGCAAGAGAGACTTGGACCAAATTAAAGAGAATTTACCATGAAGAGAACATAGGTTCGTTCTACTGTGCATCTTACGGAAAGAATGCGTTCTTTAAGAAGGCAAGAATCTCATATCACACGAGCCAAAAATGTGGTCAGCATGATGTCACTTGTGTTGGGTGTGTGTGTGCCTGTAGTGGGCCAACCAATCTGCCATCGAAAACAGGCTCCTGAGCTCCGCTGACGGCTGTGACAACCTCCTGCAACCCTCTACCAGCGAAAACGGAGCTCAGGGGGGCCACGCCCAGCCCTCCCACGCTGTTTTCACTGGCAGAGTCGCCGCAGGCCGGTCCTTCGCTTTCTCCAGGATGGCCCCGCGGGCCAGATCTCTAAGCACCCTATGGGGCTTGAGTTTGACCCCGCCCGCGCGCTCTATTCCTTTGCTCATTCCCCTAAGCCACGTTCAATATTAAAGCTTTACGTTGCACTTCTATCACACCCCAAGGTCACCTCATCCTCATTAGGAATGCTAAAACCTGGAAAAAAAAAGTCCTGCCCCACAATTATAAACACACCTCTTCAAAAGTTCACCACCTTTTGGAAATAAGAAGCATTGCACTAAAACGGCGGGAGGACCACTTACATGGAACTGCTGATCTGCTGCACTTGCTGTGGAGTCAGGGCAAATGCAAAGCAGGTTTCCCGAAATCTCTGGCTATTATCTGATGCTAAAGAGAAGTCAAGAGGAGATTAAGTAAACATGACAATGATTATTTTTCGTTATATAGACAATTCTGTCATCATTTTAGGAAATTTAGCATCAACCCAACCTTAGGTTATCTTCTAGGGCAATGTTTCCAACCATGGCAGCTTTTAAGATTGGGATGGAAAACCCTGTTCTAGGGGTTGATACTTCTCACAGGATATAGACTTACCTTGGAAAAGATCTGGAAGTTGATTTCAAAAATTCCTTTAGAAATAGAAAATATAACAAGACTAAAGCCTGACACACTGAGCCATTAAAAAAAAAAAAGACTGATGAAGAACGCAAAGTAAAATGTTCTGACTGACAAAACAGTTTGGAGTAATTGTGAGGGAGAATCCGTATTTTAAGCATTAAGCTTCAACTTGTGTGGCATATTATTACAGCGCCACTCTATACATTCCCTGCATGACAGAGAGTGCAGAAACTCATTCACAAAGATCTGATTTACATCCTGAAGTCTCAAGTCGTTTGATTAAATGTGAGTCATTAAATACAAATTATCTCTTCTTATAACATAAAACAAATGCTTGTAGAACAAAACAAGGAAGAATTAGCAGAGCCAAAGGGGATTATGTTCTACCAACTAAGAAGAGGGTATTTTAATTGAAATGCAATAAAGAAGAGCTCAACATAGACTTTCTCTTGCTCTGTTAGCTTCAACGAAGGAGGTGGATAGAAAGGTTTCTTCTAAGATTTGCAAAACTCATCATGTTTCTAAGCCCAGCGTACAGCTTGTGAGGCAGCAGAATTTCAGCCAAGCTAAGTTAACAAACTGCATTATTTGAAAGAAGCAAAAACAAAAAAAGTATTCTGACTTTAATAGGAAAATGAAAGTAAGACAAATGTATCACCAAAAAACTATTATAAATTAAACGTGGAAACTAGTCAGGACTCCGATAGTATACCTGCATATAAAACATACAATATAGTTAATGTATATAATTAACTTCCTTTATTTTGGGAGTTCTTATGGGGCCGCGTTATTAGCTTCCAGGGCCGCGGATTGAGCATGGCTGCTGCGGGCTGTTTTTAGAGGCATTAGAACAGACTCTTTGATAAAGACAAATATATATGACTCCCGTATTTATGAGAAGCTTGTGCATATTTTTTATAAAACATATACAGTTAGGAGTTTATGATTAAAAGATGCAATTAAAACTATACTGAGCAATGTTTGAAATCTGAATATAATATAAACTTTGAGAGCAAGCAACCCAGGTGCCCCCTTACAGTAATTTACAGATATTATATTAACAGTTCCATTACCTTCAGTTAAAAACAAGCATTTAATGACCCACGCACAGAAAGCTGTAGCTATAAATATATCACTGAAATGCTCTCTTGGTAACATATTCCTTTCTGAATTGGAAAAAGAAATCCAGTTAACCATTCAAAAATGGTCCTGGGTGAACATGCAGCGCTCTATCCCAAGCAGGCTCCCCAGCTCAGTTCCAGTCCTCCTCAATTCTGTCTATTCACTGGGTGCACTTTCAATCTTTCCTTGCAAATTGGCCATTGCTAAATAATTAAGAGCTTATTACAATAACTCAAGATAAATTGTATCGCAAAATTGCTATTTGCTGGAATATTTCACGATACAATAAAATGAGGAAGATCTTTTGCTTTATACAGTTACATTATGGGACATTTATTAACGTAAGAGATATTATATTAATCCAAGAAAGCACAACTGTATTTTACCATAATTTTCTAACCCCGCTTGATCTCCATCTTTGCTGCACTCTATTCACTAAATATACAGAGTTTGTGGAATACCACCAGCATAAAGTTTCACAGAATCATAGGAAGACAATGATACTCTATTTAGATTTTAATCTGCCCTTGTGATTGCAACGAAATTGAGCACGGTCATGGAAAAATGCAGAGATGTGGAAGTTTCTTAATCTCCTCAACCTACAATATTTTTTTTGCAAGCTTTGTTGCCACTCAGTTCCTCCTCACCCAAGGACAGAGGATTTGGTCCTGCAAAATCAAACATGAAATAATCCTTTTGAGCTTCACAAAATTATTTTGTGTATTAATCAAGCCAGCTGACCTGGTTTTTGGTATCAGATAGACTTGAAGACTCCCTCTGTGTGTGTGTGTGTGTGTGTGTGTGTGTGTTTGTGTGTGTGTGTACGAACATGCGTGCACACATGTAACGAATGGCATTTTTATAATTACTTTGGTCTCTCAAATCCAAACATTTGAATTTGGGCATAAAGTTTCACAGAATCATAGAAGGTCCATAAAAGAAAAAAGAAAGAAAGAATACAATAGAAAAGAATATACAGTAGTAAAGAAAAAGAAAAGGAATATATAAAGAAATGACTTTCCCCTAATCACAAGAAGTGTAAACTATTTTAGTAATGTAAGATCTTCTCTTAAAATGCGACAAATTTCTTCTTCCTGTTTCCTGTCTCTTTATCTATATACAAATACTTCAAGGCTCCTCATTTCAGTCCCTATGTCAGCAAAAGTCTATTAAGGGATTCCAGAGACAACAACATATCTGCTTTAACCATGATAAAATATTTACACATTATGTTGCCCATCTCGCAGTCACAAAATAAACCAAGTTTATATTCCTTCATTTTGATCCTTACTCCCTTCAAATAATATCGTAGAACTTGGTTCCTTTTCATTTTTTTGTCCCTTTTCACAAAATTCTTCAGCTTTAACAAGCCTCTTTCGTAAATCCAATATAGCAAAATTATCCAGATTTGTTACTTACATATCCCTTTTAATTATTAAGATATTAGCTGGTTTCTTTTGTACGTCGAGTGTGATAGCTTTTCCATGTCATTCTTGTAGCCCATCATTTTTAAATCCGCTTTGAAATCAGTCTCAATCAGGTAAAATCTCTTCCGTAGCAAGGGGCGTGCATAAATGCACCATCGTGCCTACCTTCCCTATCCCATTGTCCCCATTTATTCGTTACCTATTTCCTGTATTCTTACTCGTGTTTATACTTATATCTATTACCCTGTAAGCAATTGACAAATCAAATCAATAAATAAAACATTTTAAGCACCATAGATTAAAATTAACTTCTGGGTCCACTGTTCAAAACTAAGCTTTAATATGTCCAGGGTTAAAATATTTTCCTTCATTCTGTATTTCTAAATTGAGAGTAGGTGTTCTTCTTTAATTGTAAAAGAGGGGCTTGGACTACACTCCCTTCCAATCTTGTTATTCTAGGATTTCGCCCCCATTTCTTCTGAGGACTAAACGACTTCAATCACATTGTTATCAGTAGATAAAGATATTACATCTCGATGTGGCAAGTGTGGATTACCTAAAAATTGGAACCCTAACAAAGGAACTGAGCTCTACCTGTTTTAAACAAACAATCCAAGGGGCCTCTGCAAACTATGGCAGACTAAAAAAATGTGTAAGAAAACAAACTGGGTTGGACTTGGAGAAGCATTTCATCCGCAAACGTGCATCCAGGTCAACACCTGGCTTCTGTTAACTGCCTGGATCCTTGCAGGATTCGACTAAGACAATTAATATTTGGTCAATTTAAGCAGGCGTCACCATAGCTCCTTTAATGGATAACATCTGTTAGAACCAGGAATATAGTTTAGATTGTTGTGGCAGGAAAGAGGAATTATTTTCTACACCGAAGATTTCACAGAAGCAGGCAGCAGCAACAGGATAGGTCAACCTAGAATTAATGGAAAGATTAAGGATTGCAGCAGAATATAATAGTGTTTTTTTGCTACATGATTTAAAACAGACCACCTCTATTTGAATTCTAGGAGTAGAACAAGTGCAAAGATGTGTTAAGAAGGGAATGCTGTAAGTTTCACTCAGTTATACTTCTGCTACAGTGGAAGAAACTAACAAGCCCTTATATCTCAGGAGGTCCAAATCCCTCCATAGCTCCCATTAGGCTGGACAAAACACAAACCCTTCTAAGTCAACCGATGCACAGACTTTTAATAACAACCATGCAGACTGGCTCAGTGGGGGACAGGGAACAATTTGATGCTGGAAATTATTACAGATGAAGTCTGAATCCAGGATTAGCAGAGAATTAATCCCATGCCATTTCATAATACTAAAGGATGAAATGGTCCATTTTTTTTATTCATGAGGCATTCTCTTGTTTCAATATTGAAAGGCATCAAAAACTGCAGAAGAATTAGCTCGATATTTAAAATTAAAATAAAAGTGTGTTCTCACTGTACATTTCATTTCTAAAGCTAACAATTTATTTGAAATTATCAGCCGGAAACCTAAAAAAAATTGTTCCTTGTGATCTTAAAAGACACTGACAAAATTATCTTCTTGCTGATCTTAAGAACACATTTAAAATAAAATCCTCAAATCATTAAGAACTGCAACTGTGTCGTTTCAGAGAAAAATTCTTGCCCATGAATTTATTTCCACCGACAAAAGAACATCTGTATCTTAAGAGTAATAGCAAGGGGACACCATCTTCCCAAGGGACAGAGAGCCACTTCTGGTTCTCTTCAATAAGCCCTCAAAATGATAGCCGTATTGTAAGTGTGAAAACCCAAATGTCTATTAGGGCCCTGAGAGAGCAGAGAAAACAGCCAGAGACTCAGCAGGGCTGGCCGTAATCCAAGCAGGAAGAGTCACAAGTAACTGGAATTTGCATTAGCTCTTCAGAGTCTGAACAAACAGTAAAAAAAAAAAAAAGTGAGGATACTCCAAATACAAAAGAGACTTCAAACAGATGCTTTTGAGTTAACCTAATACATTAACAGGATTTAATAATTAGCCTTGAACAATTAACTACTGTACCATTGCATTTTAACATACCCCAAGGCATGTTAATTCTCAAAAACATCTATCTGCACTTCTGCTTTTTTTAAGAAACTTCATTTCAAGTGTGCATTCGTACTGCAGAGCTGCACCGTTTGTCTGAAGTAGTGCTGATAAGTAATCTTTTTCAAGAAAGCCCTGAAAGGCTAGATTAGGACTTTGCAAAATTCTCTTGGGCAGGAATTATTTGGAGTATGCAATACTACATTATTACCTTACTCTGTGCTTCTGACCAGAATTCACCAAGGACTGAAAAGCTCAATTTATCTCCTCTTCCTAATTGAAAAGGAAATAATTTAGAGAGCTGAATATTACACAAATATACATGAAATTGGTTAATGATTTGCAATATTGTTTAGAGTCTACGTAGTTAGATAATGGCTTGAAAGGAGAGACAGTCTCAGATCCCTAGAGTGATACTGCCATTCAACTGGGGAAAGAGTGGGACCCCAAGTATATTTCTTTATTTCTACTTTTGACAACTGCTGTTTTCACCTAAGCACCCTGAGATTTTTCTCACCTTTTGGGGAATGTATAAGGGGGGAGGGCCATGTGGATTGTTTCACTCTGAAAGCCCATGGGAATGCTTGCTTATCTGGTTTTCAGTATACAATACAATATTACAATAACTTCACACCTGCAGATTGGCTGAATCCACCTTGGATCCGCTCTGCTGAAAGTGCTTTATTTCCAACTATATTGCCTGAGGGGATTCAGAGCCTGCTTTGCTTTTGTTCTGCTATCACTTCTGCTCAATAAAAGGTTCCTTTTGAAATACCAAGTTTCAAGAGTGTTTACTTTCTTGAGTAAGGAGGAGAGGCAGGGCCTTGCAGACAGATTCTTTCAGGATCTGAAAAGCTTCACATCAATATAATCCCCTGAGACACCCAGAAAGCTACAGGACTGTGGATAGGTCAGTTGGACTCCTTCATATAAGGCAAGTGTCTCTTAGACATTTAAAAACATAGAACATGTATGATAATAATAAATGTCCCGTAATTTCACCTCTCCCAAAGTTTATACTATATATCTTACTTCTGTTAGACTCCTGAAATGTTGTTGGATAGCTACATTTGGTTCTGCAGCTAAGAGATTCTGCCCTCAACTCACATTTGGCACATCCGATCATCTATAAAACTTTTAGCACCTTCTAAATTGCCAACTGTCTCATTTGCAACCTTTTTAATGATCAAACATCTCTTTTTTATGTTTATAGCTAAATACCTATGCCTAAAAGTGCTCTCAACTGTGACATCTCATTTTATTTTATGGCTATACTACAGTATCAATAATTTTATTTGATTTTAGGCTCTGGCCAGTAATATATTTTAGTTAGCTTCTGCATTCCTTACAGTCTCTAATTTGATTATTTTGGTCTATTTTATTTGCTGCATTGTCTACCTAGTGCTTTTGTACTTTTGTCATAGGCCCGCTCACTAATTACTATAATTAATAAAGTATTCATCAGCCTTTCTCAGTCTTGTGGTTCTGGACACACTAGACACGTATTTATTTATTTGATTTGATTTGTCAATTGCTTACAAGATAATAGGTATAAGTATAAACATAGTTATGAATACATGAAATGGATACATATAAGAAAACTAAAAGAAATAATAGGTCAGGGACAGTAGACACGTTGGTGTGTTTATGCGTGCCCCCTGCAATATATATCCTATAGTTTCCACCCATATTTTAGTCTAATGTGTTTAGGAAAAAAGAATAGAAATATCTTATTTCAGCATTTTTACATATTAGTTCAACATTAAGAAAAAACACATTAAGAAAAATGGTCTTAAAAATTAGTAGTCTATAAACACTCCCTTTCTGAGCCCAAAAGATACTTGGAAGCTGTAAGATAGCTCAAATTTTGTATGTGTAACAAGATCGCTAATAAAGCATTCTGGTGAGCTGGTAATTCCGATAGTGCAAAATAAATTAAACTTAAAGTCTTTCATATTTTTGGCATTTTGATTGCTTGTGTTAGCAAAACAAAGTGCCACATTGTAAACATATGACCAAAAAATTCTGGTATACCAAAGCATACTTTTAAAATTTGTAGGTTGTGACTTAGGCCTTTTTTTTGTCATTAGTAAGAACATTACTAAGTAGCATTCTGCAATGACGGTCCAATAACTTATTTAATAAAATAATCCCTAGTCAAATTGTTTTCTATTGAAGAATAATTCAACAGCTTACAATTACATATTCTGGCAAAATTTGTTTGTATTCATTCAAAATTTGTTTGTACCATGTTCATCCACCTAAATAACCGCAAATATAGCACCCAGACTCCAGTCCATCTTTAAAAAGTCAAGAAATCGTTCCATCCACACTGGAGGTAACAGGCTTTCAATCTGCAAGTTGGGAGTTGTCAAGGAAGAAAAGTAAGAGATCCTTAAATGCACTACTTACATCCTCATGCATATAACGACTGCGTTTATAAAAGCGACAATATTATTCCCTTACCTAGACTGGTTGGTTTTATCAGTTCATCCAACAAGTCATAAAATGGCAACTTCTGAAGCTTTATGTCTGGGTGGACTGGGTGGAGTGCTGAGGTCAGATGGGGCAGGTCCAGTTCATGTTTAGGTCCCAGGAGAGAAACGGGAAGCAATGGCGAGGTTGCCGGGGGTCCATCGAAAGCCAGTTGCGGAATGGTAGAGGACGACAAAGGGGATGACATGGACGTTGAGTGGACGCTTGGGATGGACAAGTCTGCAGAGGTGATTATTTTTTGCGGGAACCGCCTCCTGTAAAGTTCTTTGATTTTCATTTGGACAGCAGGGCTGCAGCCAGCCTTGAGCAAGTGGAGGGCTTTAGTGAGGAGTTCGTGTTTGCGGCCGTGTTTGTTTCTTCCTGCGTAACCCAAAAGCACTTGCAACTCAGAGACTCGGAGGCTCATCACCATTTGCTTGAAGACAAACAAAAAGGCAAGACAACAGTTATTCAATCAGAGCTGTCTGGGAACATGAAAGAGTAGAGAGTTAACCCTAGAGAATCAAGCAAAGCGTAACTTTACTCCAACGAGCATACATTCTTCATCATCACCATCATCATCATCATATCATGATTGTTGTTGTTGTTCTGCATTGGGAGGAAAACTTTTCCAATTGTGAGTTCAGCACTTGATTAAGGAGCACGTTTTCTCTCGATCTCGTAATACATTTCAGAAACAGTCCGTGTATTACAGGCAACGTTTGAGAGGAGGCTCCTGTCAACATCAAACGAGCGGCATGCCTGCAAGGCTGCCAAAATCTGTCAACCACTGACTATAATATTGTATGTGTGGGGAAAATTATAGAATAAAATTAAGCAAAAACCCCGGTGCTTCTCTTACACGATCAAGCAATAAGCAGTCTGAAACAAAAATATATGAAGAGCCTAAGAATCTGGCAATAAATTACTGCATCCCAAATCACATCATTTCCAGACTACCTATGACAGAATAAGAAAATAATATTTAATATCCTCTTACGATATCCTCTGTGAAAGTTAACGAAATTATTTAGCTTAAGGACCTACTAGAAAAGACAAGAAAACAGTCAAGACAATCAGATACAAACAACCATCTTACAACCGGTCGGTCGCTTAGCAAGTGTCTGAAATTACAAGGAATCTGAAAGTGAGACTTATGAGCTGAATGCCAAGTGCTGCTGTCTACCCCACCCCTGGGGTCACATGACCACATTCTGGGTGCTACAGAAGCTTGTAGTCATGTGACCACAATTTATGAGGTTTCTGCTGCTTCTAATTTACAGAAGTTTCTTTTTACTTTTTTCTTACTATTTTAATTCATGCTTTTAAATTTTTCAAAAATTTATAACAGCTTACTGTTTTTCTAGAACTAATCTGTGCCCCAGCCTATTCTCTTTTAAACGGTTAAAAATCTGTTGAGTTTATTGAAATGTAACTGCTGTAAAAATGAACCTCATTTGATGAACCTATTTCGTGATTTAAAAGCTACTGAGGTAATGACACCTTGATTTACCACAAAATGTCATTACTTTAATAACTTTTAAATTGTTTTAAGCGGATTAATAAAATACTAAGGAATTGTTCTGGGTAGGCATATCTCTAGATTTCCTTCACCGAAATGACAGTCAGCATATTATGAAAGATATAATTTTTTTTTGCTTCATCACTAAGTGAAATCACTTTTGACTTCCAACTTCTCTGCAGAATAGTGATATAAGTGATAAAGAAAAAAAAAACCCACTATGGACACAATTAGAAAGTTATTATGCAACTCCTTGGCTCTTACAATTGAGGTCTCTTGAAGATACTCAGTCAGTTCTGCTGTTTTAGGATCTGCACAGAAGACTGAAAAGCATAGATGAGTTCAACCCTTGACAAACTGACCGTCACCATGGGACCATCTCTGACTGAAAACAGCAAGTAAACTTTGGGGAAGGGGAATCCCTGGTACGTAGGGTTATTATCCTTTGAATCATGTATTGGCAATCATGTTTTTAAGCCATCTTACTCAATGTTAAACAATCTGGGTTACTTAAAATGGAGAAATGGTAATATATTCCATTAAAATATCTGTTGTTTTCACGTATTTAGTCTAGATGCTTTAGTGATTTCTGAAAACTTCTGCACTGCAGACCATCTTAGACTTATGACCTGTCTTTTAATGACCACCATTACAATGGCCTCCGAAAGGGTACTTAATAGCCCATAAAACATTCTGGCTGTTGTAAAATTTCCTGCCAGTCACATGATCACAATCAGGACATTTGGCAACCTGTTTCAACTTACAACTTCTTGCCAAGCACCCGGTGATTATGTTTCTCCGGCAGTTTCCCCAAAAAGTAAATTGGGAAGCTAGCAGGAAAGCTGCAAGTTGCAACCCTCTCATCCCTGAAAGCTGCTGTGTGTATGTGTGTGTGGTGTGTGTGTGTGAGAGAGAGAGAGAAGGAGGGAGAGGGAGAGGGAGAAAGAGAAAGAGAACGAGAACTCCTTTGGTGGGGTGGAAAAACGGAGCTCAGATCCTGATTACTGGAGCTCTGTTGGTGCACACAAAGGAGTGCTGCCATGCTGCCATGGGGTGCAGAAACAGAACCCAGACCCTGATGGTCTCAGCTCTATTCCTGCACCCTGCCCAAGGAATTCCCTTCTGCGAATGGAGGGGAATCCCTCAGGTAGCTTTTTTATAAGCCGCTAAAGACCACAAATAATCCAACTGGGCATCATGTCATATCCCACCTAACCACTGCTCCACTCTGGCTGAGATTCTCGACTCAACTGTAGTTTTAAATTGAGAACTACTTGTACCGTCAGGAGTGAAATGTTTGTGGATGTCATCCACGCTAAAATGTTCTGCTTAAGCAAATCTTAGCTATTTACGAGAGCACAAAGAAAGAATATCTGCTGCAAACTTGGTGAAGCTGCAGGGAGGGCATCCGGCCAGTAAATGCTCGGCTCCATCTAGTTCCCCTCCCTTGACTCTACCCCGAAATAAAGGATTACAGGGTCGCAGAAAAAAAGGAGAAAGAGGAGAATGCTTTTAAAAGGTTGACTGTCTATATCTCATTATGTAAGTAACTTCTGTGAATCGGTTTGAACTGGCAGTGCATAGACAAAATAAATAAAATGGAAGAGGGGACACCAATATTCATAATTTGGAGAAAACGAAACTCAAACTCTTCTATAACGAATTGGCAACAGAGAGATGGAACTAGACAAACGTAAAGCCTCGATTTCCACCTGTCCGGCTTGCTGAAAGAACTACCCACAATTCGAAAACAAACCCAAAAGCATAAATACCAGTCCCCAGCAGTGAATTATTACCGTATCAATAGTCCACTTTAAAGATAATTATTGTTCAAAAATGCAACATTCAACCTTAGGAAATGAAAAAGCCACTATGCACTTTTTTTAGGCGCTAAAGATAATGTACACTGCAAACTGAAAGGGGAAAAAAAAACCCTTAGTATTAACCGCTCAAGACAGAAATTGCAAATTCTATCAAGTTTCTACCCTTAAATATCACCATTGCAAATTCCGAAAGCCGAAGGGTGGGGGCCAGTGGGTGGGCGGCCATGTGGGCGGTGCATCCTTCGGTTCCCGCGCAGCCTGGATTAATTGCTTTGGGGGGAGTGCTGGGGGGGGGACACAAATCTCTGCGGACCACCAGTGGTCCCTGGACCACCAGTTGGCGACCACTGCTCCAAAGGACTGTTTTGCCGTTGAATTTGAAGCACTGCACAATTCTAGGCTGCAGTTCTTAAAGTAAATGTCAGCTTTCAGTCCCATCTGAGATTTAACTCCAGGTATTTTTGCAATCATGTCCCACCTATCAGGACATCACCGATTATGAATAAGAATTTCCCCCATCAGCAGAGCTGTTGTTTTTAAGGAGCCTCATTTTATTCAATGAATCATAACACAATATTTTGTATACTGAAGTAAACGAATTGGAGGGAAGCAAGAAAGGAGGCAGATTATTAAAACTGTCAATTATGCTAACTAACCCTTTCAGCTAGTTGCAATATTACTTGTTGCATGCTGTCAGCACCTTCTAAAGTAAAAATTATCCAGTAAGCATTTCCTGTTTAGCTGCAATACACAATTCTTTGCATTATTCCACTGCAGAATAACATCACTTCTTCTGCTGTCTTTTCACCTTCTTGGCAGATGAAGCCAAATCATTCACCAGCATTTATGATATATGGAGATCGATGGCGGAGGATCTGATGATTTTGATCTGCTTCGTTTTTTTATTTTTATTTTTCTGCCTTCAAGTCTGTGTTAAGTCCTGATGACTTGCCTGGATTCATTCCTGCAGTTTTCTTGGCAAGTTTTCAGGCATGGTTTGCCACGGCCTCCTTCCTCAGGCTGAAAATGACTGGCCCAAGGTCATTCAGATGGCTTAGTGCGTAAAGCAAAACTAGAACTCAGTCTCTCTGTTTCTAGCCTTGTGGCTTTAACCACTGCCACAAACTGGCTCAATCTGCTTCGTTTAGTTTTCTTATTTAATTATTTAAAATGTATCTACTGTTTACTAAAGCAGCATACTTACTAAAGGCTATGCAAAGCTAATTCTAATACTACTCTAAGAAGAGTGAGGAAGAAAAATCTATCCTTTGTAGAGATGTGGAAACTCAGGAAAAAATAAAACCAATGTTTCAAGTACTTTGGAATTATTTTCCAAGCCGATGCTGGAAGAGGCACTCACGCTGATTAGGTAGCCCAAAGAATTACCACAGCAATTCTATAGTATCACTGCTCAAGGTAATACTGCTAGCTATCTTACTCATAGCATTAAACTTTCCCAGGCAAAGTCTTCGACAACAGCTTGGACTATACTTACTCTTTCTATCACTCTTTCTGGCAGCTGTCAGTCTTGGTCTATATTCTAGTTTAGTCCAGGGGATGATATCAGCTCTTTAGTTCTTGGGAATCACTTCCTAGTTCTTTATTTCATACTTCCGGATGCATCTCAAATGTGGCTCTTAGGCTAGAAGCAAGGCTGGTTATAGGGAAAACAAAAGCTTGGCTAATAATATTTAATTATTGGCTTAAACTCATCAATCAGCCCGCTGGGTTGCTCCGCTCCAGCTTTAAATGTCTGTCCACTTGGAAAAAAATCCCTTAAGCAGAAAGTACTTTCATGCAGCATCTCGCAGACCACATCAAAGTTGGACTCAGGTGAATTGTTGATTGCTCAACGATTACTTGAAAATGGGTGGCAATCTAATCTGAACAGAATGTCCAGCTCTTGCATAAACAATTAATTAGGGAGGCATAGTTCCCTACCTTTATTCCCGGACTCGTTCAAATTACAAACTGGCCTTTACTGGTGCTCACTGTAATGCCCCGCTCTCAGTATTTCACAGAGCAGATATTGCATCTCCCTGTGGCTCACAATCCCTTCCTGTGCAGCAAGGGAAAAATAATGGAATCAAT